TTTAACCACTGAGTCATCTCTCCACACCCTAGTTTAATGTTTCTTGCTCATACTGCAGGCATTGCTAATATCTTAATCTCCTCCTTAAGTCTTCACTCAGGTGCTAACTATATTATTTTAGTATTTTCCTCATTCTCCTTTCTTTCTCCATTTCCAATCCATCACACACACACTAATGTACCAACTATCAGACCTTGGCTCTTCATGATGGCTAAAGTGCTAGCTTAGCGCCAGGGAGGCCCTACACCTACCCTTGTGTTAGTTCCTTTTCTGTTGTTGTGATAAAACACCATGATCAAGGCATCTTACAGAAGGAAGGATTTATTGGAGCTTATGGTTCCAGAGGAGTAAGTGTCCGTCATGGCAGCGAGGCATGGCAGCAAGCAGCAGGGACAGCGGCTAGAGCCAAGTGCCAAGAGCTCACACTGGGAGCTACAAGGACAAAGAAGAGAGAACAAAGTGTGAGTATGTGTGGCCTTCATCTTGAAAAGTCCATCACCAGTGACCCGCTTTCTCCACCAAGGCTGTGCCTCCTAAACCTCCCCCAAACAGTGCCACCAAATGTTCAAATGCCCGACCATACGGGACATTCTCTTTCAGACCACTGCAGTCTTCATGCTGTGAAACATACCAACATAAATACAGTGTTCAAAAGTAAGACTTCAGGCTGGAAAAACAGTTCAGTGGTTAAAATCATGGGCTGGTTTGCCAAAAGAGCCAAGCTCAGTTCCCAGCACCTATAACAGCTCACAAACACCTTCAACTGCAGCTTCAGTGGGATCCGATGCCTCTGGCCTCCATGAGTATCTGAGCACAGGCACACGTGAAGGCACTCCCCCTCCACACACACACACATACGCAGACACACACACACACACACACATACACACAGAGACACACACATACATAGACACAAACACACACATACACTGACACACACACACAGAGAGACACAAACACATATACAGACCCACACTTTAAAAAACATACTAAAGTTTCTCAAAATGTTGCACAAAGTTATAGTCCCCTGGAGACACAGTCAGCCTGAAGATGTAGAAAGCAGTAGGCTCCCCAAACATTTCCTCTGTGTGGTCAAGGTGTCCAGGCTTCTAGTAAAACACCTATGATCTTCTCCAGGACTCATGGCCCCAGCAACACTGACTGCAAATTCCCTTTCACACAGCTTACTGTGGTGTGTTTCCAGTGGACGTTGTGTCAACAAGGGTCTGTATCAGTTACATCTAATGTTTCTGGTAATCCATTTTTAAAAAAAAAATACAAAATAGTGCCCTGACAAAATAGAAATACAGAAAAGAAGCCCAGTGGGGGCAGTTTAGAGGTCGAGGCTCCCGTTGTTCTGATCCACCATCTAAAAGGTCAGGAAGCTGCTGGGACCCTTACCATCCCACACAATCTAGTGACAAAGGAAATTGAGGACAAGCTCCTATCGACTAACTCCAAAGTTATTGATGTGGAGTTTTGTTGTTGTGTTGTTTTGTTTTGAGAAATCTTTCTCAAGTTTCTACCCAAACAGTTGTGGTGGCATCACAGTGGCTCACAAGCCACAGAACCCCATCAGCACAAAAAGGGACCGAGGATTTGCTTTGCATTTAGACAGAAGTCTTCCCACAGTTTAGGGCTCTGTTACCAAGAAAAGAGAGGAACAATACTGAAATGAAAATGGCCATCCCTGCCACATGGTAATTAAAAGTTCCCTTGTAATAGTGGGATATTGAGAGCAACTTAAATGGCCCAGGGAAGTAAAGGGTTAAGTAAAATGCAAAATGTTTGTATATTAAGCTGATATTTAAAATATGGCTGCATATTTGCTACTGACATGGAAATTTTCTAGGATACAGTTTCGAGGAAAAAAATTGCATATGTAGCATCACATATCCAAAAACACTCTTTTTAACATTAACAGTGTTTATCCAAGCCCTGGAGTTAGTAACGTGGAAAGTTAATCTCCACTTTTCCTGGGTTTTGCATGTTTTACAATGAGCATACACTATTTACACGATTACTGTGCAAAAGAAAAGACATTGGGGGCTTGGGAGAAGCTCAGCAGGTGGAGCCCTCACCACACAAGCATGAGGACTGGAGATGGAATTCCCAGAATGCATAAAAGCCAAGTGGATATGAGGACTACCTTGTAATACTAGGGGGCTGGCAGAGAGGGCAAAGAAGGGAGACCCCCACAGCGAGCTACCTAGCCAAACTAGAGGAATCAGGGAGCTCAGTGTACAGCTAGAGACCCTGCCTCAATAAGTAAGGTGGATAGTGTAGTGGGAATTCATTCCACCAATTAGCTTTGAGATAGAAGCCTTAGGGTGTGGTTTCTGATCCCCTATGTGATCACTTAAAAGGAAGGGGGGTGTCACGCTCTTCTTCTTTTTCTTCTTCTTCTTCTTCTTCTTCTTCTTCTTCTTCTTCTTCTTCTTCTTCTTCTTCTTCTTCTCCTCCTCCTCCTCCTCCTCCTCCTCCTCCTCCTCCCCTCTTCTCCTCCTCCTCCCCTCTCCTCCCCCTCCTCCCCTCTCCTCCCCCTCCTGCCCTCTCCTCCTCCTCCTCCTCCTCCTCCTCCTCCTCCTCCTCCTCCTCCTCCTCTTCTTTCTCCTCCTCATCCTTTTCCTTCTTGGTGTGGTTTCAGACTACTGGATCCTTTCACTCTCAGACAGAACAGACAGCAGCTGTTCACCTGGTTCTGTGTTCGTAAGGGTATCTTCCCCTTTACTACTTTAATAAATCCTTGTTACCCCCTTAAACAGACTTACTTGGATGTCCCGTAATAGGAGAGGATCAAGGAAGATGCCATGCACCAACCTCAGACTTCTACACATATCTGTGTGCACTTGCACATACACACACACCCCTCACACACACACATGTGCAAAACAAACAAAAAAGGCCCCGAGAAACCATCCTCAATAATTCAAAAACAGAGCAGCCTGTAAAACTTCCAGTCTGTACATCAGACTTCAACCCTTGGGTTTTGGAAGCCGCCCAGTAGACACCATCGTCATAGTAATAATATCATAATGTGCACCGACTATTAACCTTTAGTAACACTGAGCAAAACAATAACGAGGACAACGGTTCCTTCTGCATTTTAAACCCAGCTAACTTGAGTTGTCCATCAGCTCTGTTTTCTGGGACTCTTGAGTGTGACACCTGTAGAAGACAGAGAAGCCTCCCGCATGCTGTGTGCACACATATGTCTGAACTGCAGCCATTGGTAGCTCCAGTAGTCCTTGCCCCTTTTTCATTCTGTCTGGTATAATCATACTAGACTTTTCTCCTGGGAGATAAACGGAATGTGTGAAACCAAAGCCTGCCTTTCCTCGTGTGTGACAGGAAGGCCTTGGCCTTATTTGTTTTCTCTCTAAAATGGACCGAATGATGGCTTCTTTACATTATTGAGGGACACCAAAAAGATAAAATGAAAGAGCTGCTAGGGGTTGTGCTGCCAGATTGAAAGCAGCATGCATAATACTGGGCACGCAGACTTATCAGCAAATCTCCATCTCCACGCAGCTGGGTTGCATTTCATAGGCAGGGGCTGTCTATCATCTTTGGTCCTGCCCACAACACCTGTACCCACAATGGCCTAACAGGTTGGTTGCTACTTCAAACGGCAGCAGAAAACTGAGAAAAGCAGGTGTTAGAAGGAGGAAGGTGGAATTGCCACCACAAAGATGCATTGTGACAAAGGCAGCCAGAATGTCATCATGTTCTTGGCGCTTGTGAGTGAGCTTTAATTTGTTCCATAAACTGTACTGTACTAAAGGACTTTTCAAACTAGACAAAATGTGACTTTTTTGAATTGTCAATTTACAGATCCCACTAATTCCAAGCATCTGCAAACTGAGTATTTTATACTTCTCACAGACAGAAAAAGAAAAAAAAACCCAATAATTAAAAACAAATAAGCTGGGCATGGTGTTTGCATGCATGCTTTTAATCCTAGCACTCAGAAGCCAGAGGCAGGTAGATCTCTAAGTTCAAGACCAGCCTAGTCTACATAGTTCGAGGCCAGTCAGGGCTACTTAGTGAGACCCTATCTCAAAAAACAAACAAAATCTGGATAACACTTTGTTACTCAATTAGAGCAAAAAGGTAGTCTTTACTCAGAGAAACGGTCACTCTGAACACACATTCACATCCACCGATACAAATACACACACACAGAGACACACAGAGTACCCGGGTGGGGGCAGAGCGGCCGGAGGGGGTTATATCATTGCCTTTGAAATGGCATCTGTCTTAACCTCCATCTTCACAGGTGGAGGGAAGTTGGGGTAGAACGCCGCCGTAGGTTCATTAGTCCCACTTGGTTTTTTCTGAGCTAGGTTGAATTACAGGGTGCCGGAGGCCCACTGGGGGCTCCTCCTTGCTTGGCTTTCTCGTTCAGCACCTGGATCAGCTCAGATTGCCTTGGAGACCAGTCCTTCACACTGAAAAGGCGGCTGGCATTGATTGACTCTTACAGTATGGGTGACTTGTGGTTTCTCTCACCATATAGATGACTGAGTTTCCCATCTCTTTTTTATTCTGAAGGGATTTGGTGGAACTTATCACAGTGAGCTTTGTATAATACCCTTTGTCTGTACGGATTTGTTTCCCAACACTTTAAGCTTCTTTTTACACCCCCAAGTGCCATTTGTGAGCTTTGTTTACTGTGGGATATGCTTTTGTGTCTTTGTTAGGGACTCCCTTGGCCATGGCTTTTGGAACACGCACTCCACTACATAGATCAGCCCAGGAGCACCTGCTCTGGACTTTCACCATGACCCTGAGACTCCATCCCCGTAACTTCTCTACATTTCAGTATTCCCATCTCTGAATTGTTTCAGACTTTAAATATGTCATTGGGCTATTTATATAGGGTTTATTGGAAACGTTCAGTGGATTCTGTGTATGTACACATACTCCCTTAAAGAAATATTATGTGTTGATAACATTGTGACGATCTTGATTACTATTGTTTCCTCCTTTGCTTTTAGTTCCCACAGTACTGTGTCCCACGCGGATGAGCCCAGCCGGCCTGATGAAGCCTCCTGCCTTACAGTTCACATGGAAAACACCTACCAGTTAGGTGTGCTGCCCATATGCTAAACTTCTAATTCAGTGGCCTGTGCTAATTTAACTGGAGCCTGGTTTTGGCTTCAGTCCTAGATAAGCCCCCTTAATTTGAGAGGGTCTGTGGTAAGTGAGAGTTCCGGTCTCGCTTTGCAAAATCGAAGCAAAACTTATTTCTTAAAAAAAAAAAAAAAAAAAAAAAGAATCAAAAACAGAAAACAGGGTTTCCTAAATTTCAAATGAATCTCTGGATGCCACAAATGTCTACAATATAATAATATAGGGTTGAATTCAGGTTCACTGGGTATTTATGGATCGACCATGTACATGTGTGTGAAAGAGATGTACATGGATGTTTATCCTTCAAAACCAATCCATGTTGTGGATGATGGAGAAAAAAAAAAAATACCTCCTTGGTGCAGAGGCAGATGACTGTGGTTCCCTGTTGACAGAGATGTTTATCTACTGCCATTGAGGTTCTGGGTCTTTGAAAACAAAGAATTTCACACCTGCCCTTGTGTTCCCAGGTGGAGTCCACAACAAATACCTTTTCCCACTCTCGTTTCTTCACAGACCTACTTGTTTTCTTTAAGTGTATGCCTACCTATGATTATCTGAATTCATATATAATTGCCAGCCTACATAAATTCCATAGAGACTTACCAAAGAGCAAAGAAGGACTCTGTGGGCCAGGGTAATTCCTCCTGTGGCCTGTTAGCCCCAGGAAAATTATAACCCATCAGCCTACCCTGCAAGGCCTTATCACCAGTTTTCTTCAATGATCCCAACACTACTGGAGTAAGAAATACTGCTTCTCCTTCCTTCCTTCCTTCCTTCCTTCCTTCCTTCCTTCCTTCCTTCCTTCCTTCCTTCCTTCTCATGGGCCACACTCTCCATTCATTTTGAGAAGCTGTAATTACTTAGATGAAAGAAGAACAAACACACTGTAGCTTTGGATGCACTTACATGATGTGAATACTGTGGTGGCTGACTGACACCCCCACTCCAATACTACAGGCCCCAGAATTAGTCTGCTGGCATTTCGCATTGCTCGTGGTGGACAGGAAAATGTTCTGACCATCCATTATGCTTTAGTGGTGTGCCCAAGTCCAGGTGCTGGCCCTCAGCCCTGCCAGTCAGTGACCTGAGTTTGGGTCAAGTTTTCTCCAACTTTCAACCAAAGTTTCTATCTTTTTTTGTTTTGCTTTTGGGGTGTTTTGTTGTTGTTGTTGTTGTTTTTGTTTTTGAGACAGGTTTTCTCTGTGTAGCCCTGACTGTCCTGGAACTTGTTTTATAGACCAGGCTGGCCTCAATCTCAGGGATCTACATCTTTGCCTCCTGAGTGTTGGGATTAAAGGTGTGAGCCACGACTGCCTGGCTTATCAACCAAAGGTTCTTACTCACTGGCAGCCTGTGACTTTGAGTAAATTGTGCTGAAGAAATTTCTGAAATCCCATTGCAACAAGACAAAGCAGTTTAAATGCAAATGCCTGTGGTTTTTTTATAATTTTTTGTTTGTTTCTTTCTTTCTTTTCTTTTCTTTTTTTTTTTTTTTTTTTTTTTTACAATTTCTTCAAGCAAAAAAGTTTCAGAAGTACTGACCTTCCGATCAAGGTGACAATCACCGGCACCCCCCACCTCCCACCTCCAGCCAGAACTACATCAAGTTGATATAAGAAAATCTTTACTAAAGGCCTATGAGTGCCTTTCACAGGCAAAATAAACCCAAGAGCAAGTAGTATTGGAAATACAGTTTGGTTATTAGTAGAGCTGACTGGTTGCTTTGAAAAGCGGACTTAATCTAGCAGGAAGGGCTGTTATCATTGAGGCTGGAGGGATGGTTCAGCGGCTAAGAACTCACCACCACTGCTATCATATCTGCGTCATCTAAACACATCTTAAGTTATGGTGTGTTTGTCTTTTTATCCAAATGATTATAGCTACCATAAGTGAAGTGAAACATGAATATAGTCCACGAGGGAAAAAAAGAATAGGAAAGGAAGCTGTGTTTCTTAGACAAAGCCCCACTTACCTTTGCTCACTAACCACAGAGAGGAGAGGATGGGAGAAAATAAGAGGCTCTGGAATCCAGTCTGAGCTTGAACACTGGTTTCAACAGTACCCGGGGAAGGTGGCATTTAAGCAAAGCACCCTGGAATCTTGGCTGCTTTGTGTGTAAATAACATGATGGGCTGCAGATCGTAGGGATGCTGTGTGAGTCGGTGCTGTATGTCCGTCTGTTGCTTCCCATTCACTATAACTGCTGCTAAAAGGGGCAGGACTTTCCCAGGGATCACTAAGCATGAAGGCCTCTTGTTTTATTCAATGTGATTCCCATAACTTACGGACTAGGTTCTGCACCTGGCTTTTTTTTTTCTGGAGCTCAGGTTAAAATTAGGTAGCAACTTTTTTAGAGATGGTGACTATAAGTATCACATCAGTGAAGAGCTTTTAGTTTATTTTCTTATACTGTGTCAAAATCATAGACAAAAACAAAGTAAGGAAGAGAGAGTTTGTGTGGCTTATGGTTTAAGGTTCATGATGAGGAAGGCACAGCTGTAGGGGCTGCTTGCTCACATATGGGCAGATCAGTTAGAAAAAGAGAGAAATACGGGTGTTCAGGTGGATTTTTACTTTTTTCCTTTTCGTTGAGCCTGGGACAGTAGCCAATGGGATGGTGCCATTCATTCAGATTGAATCTTCTTTCCTCCATTTATCTTCTCTGGAAAAACACCTTCAAAGACATGCCTAGAGATGTGCTTACCAGGTGAGCCCAAGCCCAGGAAAGCTGGCAGTGAAGAACACTCACCACAGTAGCCAACTTTGCCACCCACAGACAGACAGGCCAACATGATGGAAACTATTGATTGGTGGGAGGAGGAGGGTGAGAATGAGGGGCAGAGGGAGGAAAGAAGGAAGGAAGAGAAGGAGGGAGAGAAAGTAGGAAAGAAGGACTGTGGGGCCCAGTTTCTATGAGTTTCTCAAGCCCCATCTCTGGTGTCAAATTTTCTTTGCTGGAACCTGTTGATCCCTCAGGGTCCTTCCTGTGTGGGACCATCAAGCGTCCTACTCACATCCTCTACCATCTGCAGCCTTTGAGCCCTGGCAAATCCTCTTCTACCCCTTCATTCAAGAGACAGCAACCTCAACCACTGTCTAAGGAGTGTTTTGTGGCTTGGTATGCGCTGTTCTAACCATTTAAAATATAGTTTATCTCCTTGAACCCTAGCATAAAATAATGTGAAGTAACTCCTTCTTGGTTTCGTTTTAGTCTCCGATGGCTGCTGCTGGCCTCAGACTCACTCCATTGCCAAGGACACTTTGAAGTCCTGGCCCTCCAGCCCGCACCTCCCAAGTATGGGATGACAGGCTTGTGACACCGGAATTCCTGTTAGCCCCGTTGGAGGAAGTGGTGGCACACTTTGTTGATTTTGCAATTCTCCCTTTAATCTAGTTTTTTTCTTTTGAAGTTTTATTCTCATTTTTCAGATCTTCTGAAATCTAAAACATTTTCCTCCTTAATGTCACAAAACGAAGAGGACAGAGTTTGTTGATTGCATTCGTCGCCGTCACTCTAAGAAGCTTCGGGAGCTTGTCTTGCCTTGTTTCTGTCTCTTTGAATGTCAGCGGCTCAATCTGAGTCCGGTGACAGATGGTTCCGGATGGGTAGGGGAGAGACCACTAGGATATAAAGAATGAGTTTTCATTACTATATAGGAAAATAGTTTTACAGACAGAATCATGTTTGTGAGCTAAAAGGATGTGCAGTGTTCAGAAAGGACTTGGTACAGCAGCAGACCCTGGGAGCTACTGGGAACCAGGCTCCCTTCCCCTACTTCTGCTTTCCTTCCAACCTGGAGGAAACGTGGCCTCTGGCAGTTCCTAAGGGTTAAAAATCACAGCTTTTCCTACAAGCAAGAGGCTGGTTTGTTTTTACACCTACTTCTACTTTGAAATAAAACTTTTAAGGAAGGGCTGTTTGGACCCAGCCTAGAGCTGTGTCACCCTTGAGCCTATGCTCCACCCTTGGGCTCATGGGTGGCAGTGACAGAGTTCCCTGTTCCATGATGACAAGAGGAAGATCAGTTTAGAAGGGTAGATGCTGCTCTCATGGGTGGGAGGAGGCAGGAGAGCACTGTGCTGACCAATATATCTGCACTAGAAGAATTACCCATTTTCTGAAAGCAATGAGGACAGGTGGGTTAACACGAGGCAGAACAGGTACCCTGGGAATAATACCAGTCAAGTAAGGTCCCGTGATATGAGTACTTGGCGGGAGGAGTGGGAATGGAAAAGGATGGGGTATCTCTCTGAATGACAGAATCCATTTAATGTCATCCAGACCAAGTGGCACAATTTTTTAATATTTTCAACACGAAGGGGAAAGTCACCTTCAAATTTGACTTCACTCAAGAGTAGAAATCTTTTTAAAGATATTTTATTAAGTCTTGGAGAATATCATCAGTCATTGTATTTTGATCAGCTTAATTGCCAAATCCTTCCTTCCCCTAACCTCCTCCCAGGTCCACCTCTACCCCAAACCCCAATAACCCATTGACTTCAATATGTGCTGTCCATGTACTCCTGTGTGGGGGACCACCTGTGGAGCATGGTAAACTATCCTTAAAGAAAAGAGACTGTCCCTCCCCCGAGAAGACATCAACTACCCTAGCTCCTCAGTTAAAGGGTGGAGCACAATGAACACCTTATACAAATCCATAGGAAGGTGACAGAGAGACCTGTGGGCACCTGGGAGCTTGCTATAGGGGAATCTGTCTCTGATAGTCTCTGGCCCCTGGTATGAGGACCAGTCATCCACATGTTGGTAACTGCTTGAGATTTCTGCTGAACAGATGTTTTAGCTGCTAGAGTCATTGTATCACCTTTTCTTTTCCTTACTCCTTCCCCACCTCATTCCTCCCCCCTCTTTATTTTTAACAGAGTCTCGCACAGTCCAGGCTGGTCTCACACTCATTATGTATCCAAGGCTGGCCTTGAAATCCTGATCCTCCTGTCTTCGCCTCCCTAGTGCTTAGATTATAGGCATGTGCCACCATGTCTGACTTTCCTACCCCAATTTAAATTGAACTCAACCATTCTTATATCATCAAAATAAAAATTATCTCTAATGAGCCTTAGGAGGCTAACCTCACTGGACTACAGTCATAGGCCATAAACTTCTCTCGAGGAAAGCCAACGAAACTTCAGCAGGAATGAAAAGGGTGTGAGGCCTGAGGGTTTACCTCCCTGGCTCCCTGCCACGGCTTCATCTCAGACTGGTTACATCTCTCAGCCAAGGGACATTGTGCTCTTGAGGGAGCCATGTCCATGCAGCCCTCCTGGGATCTAATCTGAGCTCCCTTCTGGATTGCTCAGGCCTGGGGTGGCATGCTTCTGCTGGTGGAAGGGAACAACCCTATCGTGTGTGACTTCTCTTTCTCTCTTAGACATCCCAGAGGGGACTCTCATTTAATCCTCTTGGAATTGTCCTAACTCTAATGCACCTTTTTCCCTTAGCCCCTACATGACATAGGCATATGAATAATGTTAATTACTAAAAGAGAATTGGATAGCATTCTTGATTCAAACTCTTCCTCTTTATCAATTCAACAATAATCTAGTCTCTACACACCAAGCCGTGGCACCTTGTGTATGCTCATGTAGTTGCCTGGGCAGATCACAGAAGGAAAATGCAGCTAATTCCAGGGATACCACGCTGAAGCTCACTTATCTGACGCTTTGATCCAAATATGGATGAGATGTGGTTGAGAATATAAATTTTAAAGCCAGATAAATCTGGGCATCCGTTCCTAGTTCTGTTACTATGTGGTTCTGGGCTTCCACCTCTATTTTCCCATCTGTGGGGCAGATATAACTGTGAGAGTCCCCTCAAAGATCTACAGAAAGATATCATAAGGTAAATACATGCTTGTTACAGTCCCCGACACATAGCACATGATCAGTAAACAGTAACTATTATTTGTGCAGTGATTATTATCTATAAAATGTTTAAGTCCACTAAAACCAGAAATTATCTCTAAGCATCAAATTAGACTCTCACGGGGATAAAACCCTGTCTTGCTTACATTTCTTTTCAGTTTTTTAGCAGTTCATTATGTTTATTACATTGATTCCTGTGTATACATTTGCACATACAAGCCTGAGGGTGCGTCACACCTCTCACAGGGAGGCCAGAGGACATTCAGAAGCTGGTTCTTTCTTTCCACCTTGTGGATCTCAGGGGTTAAACTCAGATTATCAGTCTTGCCAGCAAGCACCATTACCTCCTGAGCCAGCTCACTGGCCCCGATCTTGCTTCGATTTCACTGGCGAGAATTGCAGGTATGCCTTAGCTGTTTTCAAATGGGTTCAGATCCAGGGGACCCATGTGTCTGGAATAAGTGAGAGGTGTTTTCTTTGTGTTTTTGTTTGGTTTTGGTTGATTATTAATTAACTGCATCTGCTTCCATCAGTTACTGGATAAAGGCTCTCTGATGACAATTAGGATAGTCACCAATATGATTACAGTAGATGGCCAGTTCAGGTACCTTCTCCACTATTGCTAGGAGTCTTAGCTCGGGCCATCCCTGTGGATTCCTGGGAGTTTCCCTAGCACCAGGTTTCTCCCTAACCCTGAAATGCGCCCCCATCGGAACGTTTCTTTTGTTACTCCCCACCTCCGTCCAGCCCCCAACCCGCCTCTTGCACCCTCAAATTTTCACCTCCCCACCCTCCCTCCACCCTAGTTTACCCACGAGATGTGAGAGGTGTTTTGTGCCTCCGGTGAGATACGAGAGGAAAGAGTACCTGGAAAAGACATTTGAGCCAGAAGTGAAACTTGAGTAGACATTTCTTAACTGAACAGATGGGGAACGGCGCTCCATTTGAAAGAGTGGGCAAGGGTAAAGACACATAAGCATCTTTAAATGACAGATGGAGCCCATGAGACTGGAGCAGCAGGCATGTGGGGAGTTATGGTGGCTGAAACCAGGTCACGGGACCAGTAGGCGCACAACTATAGACCCCATAAGGAAAATGCCATTTTAAGATCTAGGTTTTTCCAAGCAAGCTTTCTGACTGCAGTGTGATGGACCAGAACGGTGTGGGTGGGGTGTAAACACTGAGGAGCCAATTAGAAAAGTGTTGAGGCTTTGAAGTAAGCAGCCACCAGCACTGGCAATTGACGAGGAAGAGCTTGTGGTGCTGAGATCAGCAGAACTCACTGCACTCGGTAGGCAGCCCGGTAAATTCAGAACTTATTACCCTCCTTCGCTCAGAAAAGCCAGACATGCATTCGGGTTTGTACCTTCCTTAGCTGGAGTTTACCCAGATTACTAAAGGGCTTCAGGTTTCGGTGTTGTTTTTATGAACCTTATAAGGTAGGTGGATGTGATTAGAAATGACTTCTAAAGGTATTCCATGTTTATCTCCAGGTCCCACGAAACGTTTTCCCGTGGCCACTGTCAATCGTATTTTGAAAGATGTACTAACTGCCCATCTACAAGAAGCAAAATATGACCCCGAGTCCTGCAGACAGATGACTAAAACAATTTCTGAGGTACAGTGCAGTTTTCCCAATGTTAGCTATAACCACAGCATTTGCTGAAAGAGAGCCCACTTTCTTCCTTGTGAGGAGGAATTAATTTTTGAGATCAGTTAAATGGCATACTTACATTTTATGAAAATAGGTATTAGATCATATACTACATATGTGCATAGGTACATGTTGTATGTGATAAACTTTTGTCTAAAACCATCATTATGTGTATGTAATTTGTAACTAATATATTGCTTTAACAAAGCTGTTGCGCATCTTTTTTAAAATACGATTCATATTTTTATTGATTTATTTGTGTGTGTATATATATGTGTGTGTTCCATGTGTGCAAAGGCTGGAAGAGGTCAGAAGAGGGCTTCAGATCCCCTAGAGTTGAAGTTAAAACAGTTCTGAACTGCCTGGTGTGAGTCCTGGCAACCAAACTGTAAGAGCAGAATGTGCTTTTAACTGCTGAGCCATCTTTCCAGTTCCATGACACTTAAAAAAAATCATCCTGTATATTTGTATAATGGGTATGTATGGTATGTGTGCATGTTTGTGTGTGTGTGTGTGTGTGACTTTGGGCATGGCCATGCCACTGCACACGTAGAGGTCAGAGGACAATCTTGGGTGTTAGTCTTCCCTTTCCACCTTCTTGGAGAAAGTGTCTCTTTGTCATTCACCATAGCATAAGCCAAGTTAGCTGGGATGGTCCTGTCTCTGCCCCCATCTCCCTGTCGGTATGCTGTAATCGTAAGTGCCTGCTACCATACCTGAATTTTACTTGCGTCTTGGGGACTTGAACTCAGGCTCTTACACTTGTACAAGTGCTTTACCACAAGCCATCATCTCAACCAAAAACGGTTTCACTATTATTTTTGGAAAATACGCAACGTTTTAAGGACCGTTTTCTCCTTGCCACAGCAACTTCTTTGAGTGCTATCAATTATACATATCCTGGTCTTTAAATACATTTCTACTTTTATTAACTACAGTGCATTTATGATGATTTCTTCTGCTTTGGTTTTCATAACAAACTCTGGGATAAATATTCAATTCTGTTATGTTGTGGGAGATTTCAGAATGTTTTCCCCATTAGCTATAAAAACACAAAAATAACCCTGGTTACAGCATTCTTTAAAGGGAACCCATCTTTAATATAGATTTTCATAGGGTATAATTGTCCCTTGAATTCTGTTCTGCAGATGACAAGCTTTCTGTGTATCTTAGAAAATGTCAGCTTATTGCTAATGTTGTTGTTTTGTCCCTGGATTCCTGTCCCATGAGGATAGTACCTGAAAGAGAGTTTACTTATGGTTCTGGGAGATCCTGGAAGTACCAACAATGCACGTGCTATTTTCTTTTTAAAAAAATTTCTTTAATACTTTTTTAAAAATTGGCCTACGAAGCAAGGTACTTCATTACAGCTTTTTCACGCACATGTCATCACAATCCCCTCTCCTATTGTGCCATTCTCCCTGCCTTCCTCCTCTTGGTCCCCTCCATCCTTCTCAAATTATTCTTTCGTGTTTAACAATTGTAAGATTTAACGTGACTAACCACCTTTTTTTTTTTTAAACAATTTCTAGGTTATTAAAGCCCGGGTCAAAGAGTTAATGATTCCCCGGTATAAACTAATTGTGACTGTTTACATTGGACAACAAGATGGTCGGAGCATACTTATTGGCAGCAGGTGCCTCTGGAATCCTAAAAGTGATACCTTTTCATCCTACACTTTCAGAAATTCGACCCTCTTTGCACTTGCAAATGTCTATGCGGTTTACTTTGAGTAACTGAAAATGAGAAGGATGGTCCCAGTATCTTAAAATCGTCAAACAGGCTCTGTCTCTCTATCCACAAAAGTTCTATGGGCAAAACCCGTGAGAAAGAAGCAAGACGAACATGGCAAACAACTGGAAGTTTCCGTCACTCTTGTGAGAACTTGTGGAGGGAGGGGAGCCCAAGAAAGAACCTTGTTTCTCCAAAACAGAAGTTGAATGTGGTCCACATAAACATAGATGCTGACTAAATATTACTTTCGGCACTAATTGTTTTGATTTCTCTTTTAGTTGGAGAGATTGAAGTCCGTGGACCACTTTTTGATAAGGTTCTAGAAATATATGGTAATATATTCTGGGTATATATCATATATAGGACAGGATAATTCAACATGGTACACAAAAATGATAAATGTTAATATACTTCAGTACTGCATATGAAATAATACTGGTTTTCATTTTACATTTAATAAATTGAGCAGCATTCATTAACTGCAATTACTGTTACATGTACCTGACAGCTAAAAGTGCTGAGGTAGAATTAATGATTTCATAATAATTACCATAGTCCCATGGGGCTACAAACTAAATCTAGACGCTCTTGTGGGTTGCCTGCACTTTACAAAATTACAGGAGAACTGAACATTGGCTCTTCAATAATGGAAACTATAAAGTGACTACAGGCTTTTAAGGACACTAAAGTAGACATTATGCTATTAAATATACATGATGCTTAATAGTAAATGTGTCTGTAGCACCTAAGATCATGCATTGGAAAGAGACACTACCTTTGAATATACACTGTCCACGTGACTTTGAGTAGCTTTTTCTGGCCTAACCTTTACCCAGAATTCAAAGCTGGCAACTTAACAAATAAAACATGTGTATTTGCCATTTTGTTCCTATGAATTTAGCACTCAAGTGACCCAGTGAGGTTTCTGAATGTATGGGCATTGAAGTTTACAGGGCTGAAATAGCTCTTCTGCTGGCTAATGCCTCTTGTAGCATGGGTCGTTTATTTTTATGGAGCTTTCAAGTCTTTGTGTGCATGTGAAATGACGCTGTGGCATTGCTCTAGGATGGCACGTCATCTGCCTAGAGGACATTCGTTAAAGGTCAAACACAAATTGCTCACATATGGAGAGAATTAGCAGTATTACACTCTTAAGGGGGGAATTACATGTAACTCGTATCAGAAAGATTTTAACAAATGGAAAACCCAGTCAATGCTTCACAATTTAAAAATGTTTTGATGTCTTACTTTTCCCTAAGACCAAATGTAGTTTTAAAACGCATTTCTAGGCTTTTTCTGATAATGCTTTAGGGGGCTTATGTAGAATAATGACCACCAGGACTGGCCTGTCTGCAAACACCAGTTTGGAAACTGGATTTGATTATCAGAGAGAGCAGCGAGTGTCACCGTATGCTTTTTCAACGGTTTCTTTCTGAGACGAAGGCCATGAAATCACACAGCAGCTTGGTGCGAACGAGTCAGATGAAGACATAGCTTTGCCATGGAGAAAACCTGCTGCTGGGGTGACGTCCGTTCCGGGTTCTAAGTTCCAGTCAGTAGAATCATTTCTCACCGTCCATTCCAGGTTGTGTTGGCAACTAAAACCTTGACATACGAAGGCCGTTAAAAAATGGGAAAGGTAGTTTGCAGGTCTATTGCCGTGTGCTGTAATTGAGATAAGTCCAGGGGTGACCGCTAGCAATCACAGCAGCATGGGAATATAGGGTAAGAACTCATCCAGAGTAACTAATTTTCAGGAGAGCGTTAGTCACCACACAAAGCCTTGAGATGGGAAATTTTCAAAGAAACACCACCGTAAGTTTGAAGAAGTTTTATTTTGAAACAGCTGAGCTTCCTCTCCCTGAATGCCGGTCTTCCTACTCATTCCACTGTAGAACACCCTGCCTTCTTTTCGGCAAACTCAGGTCTCACCCTCCCCTCAGGCCCTCCTCCATCCATCTCCTCCCTCCCACTCCCCTCCTGGGATCTCTCTCTGTTAATCTCTTGACTATTCTCCAGCTTTCCCCCCTCCCTCCCTCGCCTTGCCTGCTTGAAGATACTGAGTGTAACAGACCACCTAACAATGAAGTCTAATTCTTTACTTATAAGCAAGACTCTTGTGCCCTGTGCTACCTAACTCCCAACTGTCCCGAAATAGCAATCCACATCTCAACCCTTAAGGACTAGCATCCTATTGAAATGACAGCAGGGTGCATCTGTAACCCCAGAACTCCAATAAGGGGAGACAGGAAGATTACCACGTGATTACACAGATTGGAACATGTTATCACAAGAAAATTCCAGAATGTCTTTATCCAGTGAAGGAACATGTGGTAGGCTTTGTGAAAGGCAATTAAGACTTCCTCCAGACTGATGGAGACCCGGAGAATTTCAAAAGATGAAAGGTTAGAGGGATTTACAGGGAATAAGAGGGCACACAAAGATGGAAGGGTGTATGGTAGCTATCTGGTAAGGAAGCGCACGCAGACCAGGAGGAGTCATTTGCAGCTTTCCTCCAAGTGAATAGCATTAAGTGAGTCTAAGAAGCTATGTCATATGGGACAGTGCAGGAACAAGGTCTACACGGTTAGGCAAAAGGAGGCTAACACAATGCACAGAGTGAAGTTTCAAGTCCTGGGTGACTGGAAGACTAAGTTCTGACCGCCCCCCCATCCCAGGCACATTAAATACATTACCAGTTTTACAAAGCAGCAGCATTTCCTTGATGTAATGATAATGCTGGTGCCACAGCACAGGGTTTTGTAGGATTAACTGCATGCTTGCTGACCGGCTCACAGCTTAATGTCTAAGAGAAGCGCTTGTGGTCACAGCCGAAAAGTCTGAGTGCCTGGAGCAAAATGCACGGTCCTGTTCACAGGAATCAGACACCAGCTGAAAGAGTTTGAGAAATAAAACACTGAGTTGGAGTCTGCACCCTAGGTTAAGTTGATCGGCCACAGGCAGCTGCAAGCTGGGCCAGAACATCAAGGGAAGAGATTTAGACTTGGCAGGCATCCAAAATAAGATCTTACTTCTCCCTCCTGCCTTATAAAATATGCATCAGCCAGCAAGTATAATCAGTGCTAAACAGCCAATAACCGGCTCTAGGAACCCAGCCAGAAACCACCTCCCCAAACCTAGGGCTCTATCAGTTACAACACGCTGCCTTTTTTCTTTCTCTTTTTCTTCATTAAAATTATTTCCTATATTATCCCTTTCTGTTATCAGACACCAGAGGAAATGTGAAGTGTCTTGAAAAATAAGCTAGCATCCCGGAGCTTGTTGTCAGCTGCAGTCATTGATAATTGGGTGACTTCATAAAGCACGTAGTAGGAGGTCAGAGTGCAACAGATCGTGGGGTCAGAAATGAAGCAATAAATGAAAAAAAAAATATTTTCACTAAAAATGAAATCAATGAATTAATTTTTTAAGTCTGAGAGTTAGTGTTTGGAAGTAAATTTTTTTTTAAATGTCAACAAATCAGACATTTATAACGTAACAATCTTGAAGAATGAGCACTTGCCTTCTTGAGAGCATCATTTGACCTGTCTTTCTGGGAGATATAAAACACAGACAAGAAAATTCAACATCAAACAGTTATTTGGTTTTCTTCCCTCGTCTCTCTGATGCTCTTATAGGCTGCAGTCTGGGGCTTTCATGAACTTTGAAAGTGCTCTCCCAAGCCAGAGGTGCCAACCACTCCGCCCTCGTGGCATCTCAGCTCTTTTAAAGTCTTTCTTCTGAGAGGCCATGGATGTAGTTTAAGGGAAGGGATGGTGCTCTTTTTTTCTTTCTTTTCTCTCTTTCACTCCCCTCTCCCTCCCCCTCCCTCTTCCTCTCCCTTCCCCTCCCCTCCCTCTTCCTCTCCCTTTCCTCTCCCCTCCCCCCCCTCCTTTTCAAGCATAGGTTTGAAGACACACCACTTCAGTAATTTCTAACCCTTAACAGTTATGTAAGTTTGGCAAGGACCTAACACCTTCAGCCTGTTTCCTGAAAAGTAAAATAGACCATGATTGTGTTCTCATGAAGACTTGGACAGACAGTGCGGATAAAATAGCCAACCCAGAGCTGAAGAGGTAGCTCAGAGGTTAAGAGCACTGCCTACTCTACACTTCTGATGACCTGAGTTTGATTCCCAACACCCGCATGGCAGATAACAGGTGTCTATAACCACAGTTCTCAGGGATCCAGCGCCCTCTTCTGACGTCCCTGGGCAACAGGCACCCATGGTGCACAGATACACATGCAGGCAAAACACCAATACACATAGAAACATTTTTTTTTAATTTTTGAAAAAAAAATGATAGTTGAGCCAAAGCAGGGTGTGATAAGGCACATCTGTAATCCCAGCATTTGGGAGCTAGAGGCAGGAGGATTGGGAGTTTGAGACCAGCCTCAGCTATACCAGAATTGGAAGCCAGCCTGGGCTATGTGAGATCCTGTCAATAATAATAATAATAATAATAATAATAATAATAATAATAATAATAATAATAAAAGTAAGCAAATAAAAAAAATCTACCTATTAAATAAACTTCCTCTTAACCTCTAATTTTTACAGTAAGTGTTTGCTAAAGCAGATCTGGGTGTCCTGGAGCAAGTCTCTAATCCCAGTACTCTAGAGGCTGAGGCTGGAGAAGCTGGAGTTCCAGTTTTAGCTACACAATTAGACCCTGTCTCAAAGCACCAAGGGCTGGGGATATAGCTCAGTCACTGTAGAGCTCTTGCTTAGTAGACCCAAGGCCCTGAGTTTAATACTTAGCACTGTAAAAAGAAAGAAAGAAAGAAAGAAAGAAAGAAAGAAAGAAAGAAAGAAAGAAGAAAGAAAGATTGGATTAAGCTGATATTTTTACAATTACCTCTCATCACTATAATATACCTGTGATTATTTTTTCCAAATTTTCAAACACCATTATTGAATGACAGTTTTCTTTCAAAATCCACATTTTCCATGGCATTATCTGTTCCCAACTTCTACCTCCAATGCTGATTTCTCTTTGTGCCATGCAGAGGGCTGGAGGCTGCACAGAACTTTTCCTGTTTCTCAACAGTGATGTTGCTTAGCCCTGTCCATTCCTTGCTGCCTTCAATCCCATTTGGATTTGTGAGTTCATTCATAAATGAGCACATACCTCCAGAGAGTGAGCTGAAACCTAATATGCTGAAAATTTCTCTCCAGTCTGCAGTAGCTTTCAGTTTCTTTCCTGACAGCTCAACTGTGCTACACATATTTTTTTCTTTTAAATACAGGCTCTAAATTGAAACCTGTGGTTCTCCATCTACTAGCAACCATTTCCCTACCTACCAAGACAAGAAACCAGTATAACCAGTATGGGGAGACCCAGGCTTCCCTTTGCACTTGAGTTAATAACCAACAGATGATGTTTCCAACAAATGATGATGGTGGATCATCCAACTACCAAACACACCACATAATCTGTCTGATTTTGCTTAGTAGATACTGGGAAATCACTTTGTAAATTTATACAAGATAAATCATTTTGAAACTAAAGAAAAAATAATGTATATTTGTTAATTAATAATACAAGTAGATTCTTTCTATTTAGTTCACTTTACTTTGATAGTATAGATTTAAAATTATTTCAAAACATAGCTAAAGTGCTTACTTGCATCTCCGTCTACAAGCACAAGTGAAAGACATGTAAGGACCCACTCATTTAATGAAGTAGGGGTTACGATTTAAGATAAAGCATTTCCTAATCCTTATGATGGGCCTAACTCAGTCTGAGATCAGATTCATCTGAGGACATTATTAGGAAATAATGACAAGTGTTTTGGGTTTTTTTATAAAAATGATTGGGAACAGATACTAGAAATTTCATTTGCAAAAGGCACTGACTCTTTAGTTAGACCTACTGATGACCAGTGGGTGATAAAGCAAGAGAAAGCTATCTCTTTTGTTTAAAATTTGGGGGTCAGATTCATGCCCGTTCTTCACCTAGGCATGTTAATCATTCAAGGAGCACCCCAAAGCGAATGACCTTTATTTGGCCTGTTTCATCCTCCTTCAAGACCAAAGGCACAGAGGGAAGAGTAGAAGATGGGAGGGGACTATCAGCTGGCAGATTTCCAAGGTCCTGCCCCAGACCAGCCAAGCTAAACCCCAGCTCACATACAACTCTTAGTCATGGCCATCTTATTACTTCAGAAGCAAATGGAGGGAAGTCAAGTGTGCTGTTTTTATACTTCTTTGAACTATTTGCATTTCCTACCCTTGTACATAGGTGATCTTTTCCCCTAAAAACAGCATCCCACAGGATTTAAGTAAAGAGACTTCCTTTTGTTTCTATATCCTTAAATAATATATATTTATAATAACTAAGTTATAATTGTCGGTGATAAATATTTATTATATGATAAGTGGTAACTAATAAATATATATTGGAAAATTATACATATGGGCCATCAAGATGGCTGAGTGTGCAAAGGCCCACCCTGACAACCTGAGTTTAATTCCTGGGACGTGCAGAGTGAAGGGAGAGAACCGACTCCTGCAAGTTGTCCTCTGATCCCTATGTCTGTGCTGTAGCGGACACACATCCATATACATATGCACACACACACACATATACACAATAAGTAAATAAATGAAATTTAAAATTTTTTTTAAAGCATTGATATGCTCTCCTCTAGAGCAAGGTAAGGTAACCTATAGAAATGAGTCCGTTCATAGGGATATATAAGGTTGTCTATTGTGTCCTTCTAATTACAAATATTGCAAACAGTCTGAACTAGCTAAATTTTGGCAACTCGTGTTTTTTTGCACATTCAGAAACTACAGAATTTCAAAGAGCTTTTGTTTATATGGAGAATATTCATATTTAAAACAGAAATTTTAAAATAGTAACATTTAAGAATAATAAAAGCACTACATGTTATCACAAATAATGTATTTTACAAAAACTATTTTTACGTAATAAAAAAATTTGTAGGCAGAGTGGTGTTGCATTGTATTTTTACAGGTGTTGTATGACTCTTCCTGAGAAGACTGAACAAGTATTTATTCAAGTCCAAACAGAGAACTAACACACACACACAAACACACACACACACACACACACACAAACAAACAAAAACAAAAAACCCTTCATCAAAATCCAGCTGGTGAACCCAAGAGTGTATTGTTGTTGGCTAGGACATGTGAGGGGTTACTTACAAACAGCTGTATCACCATGACAACCCACTGTAGCTGAGTTGCTGGCATTCCCTACGCTCCTTCCCACCCTCTGCAGCTCCACTTTTCTCCCCAGCATTTACTTACTGCTGTACCTTCAGGAAGGGCCTCAGGAACCTTATGAACTCCTGTCCCTTGTACCCTCTCCCTCCCACAAGGGGATGTTTCAATCCTGCGCAACCAGCTCCACGGCTGCCATCCCACCATGTCTGCCTCAGTAAAATCCAGCTCAGCTCATCCTGGTGTGCTGCTGCTGTGTGCTTCACTGGTTGACGTACAAACGTCAGCTTTTCATCAAGTGGGAAAAGGAAGATTATTTCAATAACCTTTTAAGATAACTTTGGTGTTTTTGTTTTGTTTTTCTTTTTAAAGGCTAATTTTATTTGTGTGTGTGTGTGTGTGTGTGTGTGTGTGTGTGTGTGTGTGTGTGTGTGTGTGTGCTGACTCCTAATGACTTATCATTTTACCCATAGATGGATCAGTGCATCTCTCAATACCCACCAGAGAAGCTTTTTTTTTTTTTGGCCATAGATGGCAATTATAACAGAGACCCACAGCTGGTCAAGGTGCAGAGAATGAGAGACTTTGGAGTGCTCAGTCATTAATGGGACATCTATATCATATCTCCTCTGTCCAGGCCTCAGGGGTCACCTTAGAAGAAGGGGTGGAAAGAGTGTCTGAGGCAGAGGAGGTAGATGACTGTAAGGAAACAGTGCTCTCAGGACACAGAGGGCAGTCGCATGTATGAACTCATGACAGTTGACATGTACAAGGCCTGCGAAAGCTCGAACCAAACAACATGCCAGCATGGACATGCTATGTAGGCAGGAATTCCTACCCTTAACTAAGGAATTTTTGGCAATGAATAGTTTCAAAGGTGTGACCCCACACCAGTAGAAGGCCACACATCCAAGAATATATGGGGTATATGGGCAGCAAAACTGTACTTGATGGATATATATATATATATATATATATATATATATATTGAATATTATATTATATATTTTATTATTAAATTATATACATATTTGCAATGTACTTTGATCACATTCACCCTCTCCCACTTTCTGCTTGAACTCTTCCTAGACTCTGCCCCTCCCATCATGTGCTCCTTTCTAATTTCACATCCTTGTTTCTATCTCTTTTTAAGTAACCCATTGAATCTAATATGCTGTCCGTAGCACATGGGTGTGAGGCCTCCCATGTCAACCTTTCAGAGGCCACATTCATATAGAAAACTGATTGTCCCTGCCCTAGCATTCCACAATTGTCAATAGCTCCTCAGCTAGGGATGGAGCCTCACAAGTCCCTTTTCTCATCCATGCTGGGATGCTGACTGGCTCAGTTTTGTACAAGGTTCTGTGAATGCAATGCTTCTGTCATGCCCAGAAAACATTGTTATGCTCACAAAGTACAACTGCTGTGGGATGGTCTGTATGTCAAATGTGTTGCTGATTGGTCAATAAATAAATCACTGATTGGCCAGTGGCCAGGCAGGAAGTATAGGTGGGACTAACAGAGAGGAGAATTGAGAGAACAGGAAGCTGAGTCAGAGAGACATTGCCAGCCGCCACGATGACAAGCAGCATGTGAAGATGCCGGTAAGCCACGAGCCATGTGGAAAGGTATAGATTAATGGAAATGGATTAATTTAAGCTGTAAGAACAGTTAGCAAGAAGCCTGCCACGGCCATACAGTTTGTAAGCAATATAAGTCTCTGTGTTTACTTGGTTGGGTCTGAGCGGCTGTGGGACTGGCAGGTGAGAGAGATTTGCCCTGACCGTGGGCCAGGCAGGAAAACATTAGCTACAAATGGCGTCCAACATGGTGGCAAGAGTTTCCACCTTAAAACTGAGAAAAAAAGATTCTAAAATGGAGCTAAAAACAGCTTCCTAATTGTCTCTCTCAAATGAGTGGCAGCTGCCGGTTTGAGCTACTTGTGGGTTCCTAGCGTGCATGCTCGACCTGCAGTATGGCGGGAATGAGGCCTCTACAAGTGGCACATTAAGCTGTGTGGTGGATTTGTTGTTCCTAGAACAAAACAAAAAAACAGGTTTCTGGGCTACACGCTGCTTGGATAAAAGCATAGACCCACAATAGCTCCCAGAGCTGGCGGGAAACTACCACTGCCATGTTAGGAAGCTGAGGTGGGCGGAGCCAGCAGCCACAGCTGCTGCAGTTTAAAGCAATAGATTCATAATAAGACAGATTCAGATGTAATAGTTTACAATGTGTGTAAAATATACGTAGGCTTGGAAGAGAGAGGAAAAGGAATATATACAGTTATATAAAGAAATACATAGTTTTTAAAAATAAAGTCTTTAAAGAGACAGTAAAGGTAATATAAAAAATAAGCCACGTGAAGATGAATATTACACAGAGAATCTGGATTGTGTTGTCTTTGGCATTTTTTTTTTTTTTTTTTTTTTTTTGGTTTTTCGAGACAGGGTTTCTCTGTGTAGCTTTGCGCCTTTCCTGGAACTTGCTTTGGAGACCAGGCTGGCCTCGAACTCACAGAGATCCGCCTGGCTCTGCCTCCCGAGTGCTGGGATTAAAGGCGTGCGCCACCACTGCCCGGCGTCTTTGGGATTTTTAACTGCAGAAAAACATTTGATTGTAAAAGCTGTTGAGTTATGCCAAAATGTATATTTTAAAGATACCTTGACTTCAAAATTTGGATATAAGGATATGTTGCTTTGGAAAAGAGTCTCTTTTGTTCCCACAGAAAGTCAGAGGCTATGGATTCGTTCCAGATTAAGATACAACAGGTTTGACCAGCCAAGACCCCCTGAAAGGTCTCCGATGACACCATGGCCCAGATGATCCAACATCCAGAATGGTTTGAAGGCAACTGGCTCAGACAATACATCCTCATGGACTATTCCATAATCCTAAAATTTTCTTTGTGTCCCCATAAGATACAGCGCCCCCCCTCCAGCAGGAAGTAGTAAGAGAAGCTATGCCCAAATTCCCAAATATACCAAGCTGACTTTGGAGATGTGTAAAGGTTAAAACCTTCCTTTTTAAGAAAAGAAAAGGGGAAATGCTGTGGGATAGTCTGTATGTCAAATGTGTTGCTGATTGGTCAATAAATAAATCACTGATTGGCCAGTGGCCAGGCAGGAAGTATAGGCGGGACTAACAGAGAGGAGAATTGAGAGAACAGGAAGCTGGGTGAGAGAGACACTGCCAGCTGCCACGATGACAAACAGCATGTGAAGATGCCGGTAAGCCACGAGCCATGTGGCAAGGTATAGATTTATAGAAATGGATTAATTTAAGCTGTAAAACAGTTAGCAAGAAGCCTGCCACGGCCATACAGTTTGTAAGCAATATAAGTCTCTGTGTTTACTTGGTTGGGTCTGAGCGGCTGTGGGACTGGCAGGTGAGAGAGATTTGCCCTAACCGTGGGCCAGGCAGGAAAACATTAGCTACATACAACCTTTAGCATTTATAATCTTCCACAGTATTTCTGGGCCTTGAAGAGAGTGGAGGATAATGATGTAGACAGCTGAGCACTCTGCGGAGTTACTCTGCATTTTGACCAGCTGTAAGCGTCTGAAGCAACCACCACCCAGTGCACAAAGATGCTGCTCTGGTGAGTACTAAGAGCTGCCCTGCTCTATAGGTACATAGACACATACTTAGAAGGTTGTTGACACTATGTCTGTTTAGCAAAGGAATAGTAGTCGATTCACCCCAACAGCCTGTGAACTCCCTTGCCACCAGTTCTTGGCCAGATAGAAGAATGGGAGAGACAGAGAAATAACTGAGCACATTTGAAAAAGATATGTGAAAACCTACTATTTTATAAGCTTCCTGAACACTTGTATGTGTGTGTATGTATAGATTTTAAATACATATTAAATTGGATTTACCCTATACAGGGGATAATGCTCCTCTCAGAAGCCATAGGTTCCAAATAAAAAGCCCAGTGTCAGATGTGGGCAACTCCCTTTGAGTTGTTGGTTGGGGGTTCCCAGAGACCCCCCAAAAACAATACAGGTGATTGACATTGATTTCAGTTGCTGTGGGGGTTTGAATGAGATGTCTCCCATAGTCTTGGGTATTTGAACACCGGGTCCCCAGTTGCTGCTGCCGTTTGGAAGGTATGGCCTTGCTAGAGGAAGTGTGTTACTAAGAAAGGGCTTTGAGGTTTTCAGAAGCCTGATGTCATTCCCAGTTCACTCTCAGGTCTCAGTTTGTGGTTCGAGATGTGAGTTCAGAACTGTTCCTGCCCCCCATGACTGCCATCTACTGTCTCGATTTGTGCCACAGGACTCATCTCTCTGGAAACATAAGTCCAAGTAAATGCTCTCTTCTTTATGTTGTTTTGGTCATGGTGTTTTTATCACAACAGTAGAAAAGTAACTGATACAGTTGCCCACCCAAACTGAATAGTACGGCTCTATTGCTCAAGACAGCACACACTTTGGTCACAGCTTTCATAGTACCAGAAGGTGCTATGCAGGATGCTGGGTGTGTGGGTGTGGGGGGGGGGGGTGAGGGGAGATTAATCAATAGTCTTAGCTAGCTAAGACTTTTGTGGGCTATAATAATGACTGACTGGCAAGCTGTGTAATGGAGGTAACTAACAGCTTTCTGATTGGATTTAAGGTCCACTTCACAGGAGGAAATGTATGCCTGGTACAGTAACTCAATCTGACTTATATTTCAGGAAGTTTAGCCTGCTTATAAAACCTCTAGCCAAGACAGCTTTTCCTGAGAGACTTACCCTATTCCAGGTGATTGACAGGGTCATTTGGATTGACTTTTGAAAGAACAACTGTATTCATATTCTTTAAGAAAACCTCTTATAGATCATATTATTGAGATTTGTTTTTATTTTATGTGCATACGTGTCTGCCTGCATGCGTGTCT